GTGGCGTCCAAAGGGAAAGAAGCTAGAGCAAAATAGTCCCCAACAAGTTTTAGGAACTTGTAAACCGTTCACAGGGTGAAGGTTACACCCATTAACGATCCAAGAGATCGTTAACTCCAATAGGTCTGGAACCAAGACTGGTAGTTCAGGGATGAAGGTACAAATCCAACCAAAAAGAGATTGAACATGCCCTAATAATAGGCCTCTACTTTATTCTTCTCATATTCATGTGCGCTTTTTGACTAACATGAAATCATTCGGTTAACCCTAAACCTGTTTAATCTATGTTGGTTGAATATTAATGCACAAATAAAATTATTATTGACGATCACTTGAATTATAATCATATTAACCCTAAACAAGATTATTAATTATCTTATTAAGCGTGATTACAAGTACCAATTCCCTTTAAACATCCATAAAAGGTGTGATCAAGAAATAACAATAAATATAATCAAGCAACATAATAATAATATTCAAAATAATAATTATAACAAATCATAATAATAATAATCATAATTAACATAATCATGTTAAAGCATAATATTAATAGTAAGATCCTAGGCATGATACTAACAAGATTAACAACAAACCCTAGCATGTCACTAAACAATAAAAATAAAAGCTTTAACCCTAACATGATACTAACATGAATATTAGGAAAGAAAAGTAAGTGGCATCACATAAATCATAATTGATATAAGCAAATCACTCTAAATACGATACTCGGAAGCAATAAAACATCCTAACATGATACTAGGAATCAAAATAACAACCTAAAAATGATTTCTATATCAAAATATCAATTAAACAATTAAAGAACTTACTTGGATGCCTCGTATCTCTTTCTAATAACAAAATACATGCGTTAGTAAGTACTTCAAGGAAAATAAAAAAATTAAACAATTAAATTAAATAAATGAAAGAAAGTTTAGACTAGATTTGGGACCAAACCCTCAAAAATATCAAACCTTTCACGTCTAGGGCGAAGGCAACTTCGAACTTGGCTAGGTGTGTCTTGATCTTGCGAATGCGGAATTTTGTATTTGAGAAATGGCTAGTTTAGAAAAGAGAGAGAGCGAGTATCAAGAATTTCTAGATGAGAGTTGGTGATTAGAATTAGATGGAGAATTGATGATTAAAAATAGAGGTTTTAGGATGCTATTTATAAAGAAAATCAGTCGGATTATGATAAAAAAGAATCAGAGTTTTGAAAAGAATAAAACACAACGCTGTCGCCACACACGCCCCTGTCGCCAGGCGACAGACGTGTCGCCGCGACGCAAGGCCTGTCGCTAGGCGACAGTCTGTAGTGCGGTGCTGCAGGAAGTTTTTCCACGCGTCTTCATATTTTGATAAAATTTAAGCGTACGATGGGTAAAATTGTAATTTCCTTAAAAACACTTCTTTTATTCTAAATAAAACTCTTAAAAGTCAAATATCAATGCTAATCAAATTAGGATTCAAAAGAACCTTCTAGAAGATTTTAGAAGACTATAATCAATCCTAATCGCATTAGGAATGATAAATCATAATAAGCCCTCCTCTAGATCATTGGGCCGCATATAAAAATCAAACCGGGCCCAGTTTAGTAATTTGGCCTTAACTTCCTCATTATTCATCGGAATTCGGCTTATAATATATCGTTGGAAAGCTCTTTTCGAACCCGACCCAAATACACTATTATTGGACCCTTGCCATGGACCAAAATAAAATGGATTGGATATTTTCATAAAAATAGATTTTCAAAAACAGAGAGAAAGAAAAGAATTAAAAACTAACCGCAACATTAGACTTTCCACACTTTCATTTTCATTCGATTATGATTCGACGTGAAAGGTACTCATCACCGGATTTGATTTTGGGGAGACACAAATGGGTGTCTATAGTGAAGCTATATAAAAAAAGATGCGATGAATCGGTGTAGGAGAGAGTAGACCTATGCCGTATACAGGTAGAATGTATTTCAAGAGAGAATGCATCATTTCATGATATTCATGTTTCAGTTAATTTTGTACAATTCTTGGGTGTCTTGGTGAGGAAAACTGGTGTAACTACAACTGCTATAGAGACTATTATGGTACAAGGACACGATTATATTTCTTGGATGATGGTAACATGTCCTCATAATAACATTGGCATGGAGTGAATTTTTAGTGACCCTTGTGCTGAAGCAGTTATAGCTGAGCAAAGAGTTGCAAAGAAAGCATCTTTTTCATTGCGTCTCGATTAAATTTGGAAATATTTGATGGTAATTATGGTGATGCGGAAAAACTAGGTGTTGAATGTTCTTTTACTCGGGAAAAGTTTATGATTATGAAAGGCCATCTTAAATGTTTAGAAAGGAGTTCTAAACAAGGTGATTCTTCTAATTGTTTAGGGACTGATTGCTGTATGACTCCGACTGGTGAAGCATCATGGATTCCGATTCTTTCTCTCCCACCAAATCTTCCATTTAAACGTAGGGTCGCAGTGGAAGAATGCTCTAAAAATGCTATAGAAGTAGAGGCTTCAGAACGCCTTGTTACTAATGTGCCAAATTTAGAAGCTGTATTTAAGCGTGCTAGGGTTTATTAGCCATGTGTTATTAAAGTATGCTTATTGGACTCTGGGTTTAATGACTTGTACTTAGTCGTTAGGGTTGCTTTATGAGTGGTAAGTTTTCGTGTTGTATTATTTACAATTCTTTTTAATCTATCTTTTTAGTTTTAGAATATGTCAAGTTGTGTTATTTACTGTTTTTTTCTATCTACCTTTTTGGTTTGTTTGGACCATAGCTTTCCTATGGTTTTGGGATTTATTTGCTTGACAGTTTCAGCATATCTCATTTAGGTTTCTGGAGATTTATTTGCAATTCAACTATAAGAAGCAGTTCAGCAGTTCCTGAGCTGTAATTATGGGTATTATCTGAATTTGGATTCTATACAACATAATGCATTGTTTATAGTTACTACTTGCATCTTTTATGACATGGAATAATTTTAAAGTCTTGTGTGTCAGATTGTCGTTATGGTTTGCCACAATTATCTCGCAAGAGTTGTAAACGGTTACATCAGGTCGCACAAAGGTCAACTCAATCAACATTTGCGTGGTAAAAATATTTGGTTATCTTATCAGCATTTAAGTTAATGAATTCGTTGTTAGGAAATAAAACTAAAAGTGTTTGGAATTGTAGCCCATCAACATCAGATAACCAGTAGCAGGATGTACATTTGATCCGGACTCGAAGGACAACAAAATGTAGATGTGTACAACAACAAGCTGAACCACAACAAAATGGGTATTAAGTGAAAATTCTTTAGTTTGCTCTTAACCTTATTGCATATTTGATTAAATTTTGCTATTAGTAGGTTATCTGTCTTGCTTCACGACATTTTGATAGCCATTTTTGAGTAAATATACTACTCTCAACTGCTTGAAATTTGTTTCCTAAAAAAAAAAAAAAAAAAAAAAAAAAAACCTACTCTCAACTGCTTAAAATGCCATGTCTAATGCTACTGAATTTGTGCTTTGTGCAGTGAATCATCACAGACAAGCACGTCAACTAGACATTGCCTTATAGAAAGTATTCTTTTTAATTACAGCAATGCTTTACATTTTAGAAGTGCATTCTATGGTAGGTAGTGATTATTGCTTCTTTGGTGGGTTTTTATAGATCTCCTTGGTGCTGCTATATATCGAGAATTACCAAGAGAAATTATAACTTTCTGTACCTTTTTACTATCCTAAATGTGGTGCCAAGAAATTTATGTTCGACTCCTTGTACTTTTGTTACGAGAATGGAGACATTGAGATAACAGCGAATGAGTGTCCTCCTGAACTTGTTTATTTATTCACTTCAAAGGACGAAATTGCTATTAAATTTCGACAGGAAGCTAGAATGTATAACAATTTGTTTGCGTACAGTTCACTTGGAGGCCGTTTTGATACAAAGAGTTACAAAGGAATTTATGTATTCAAGCTACATGGTCAAATGTATCATTATGTCCTAAATTTATTACTTAAAGATAATTGCCCTAAATACCTTTAGCTATATTTCTACGATGGACAAAAAGAAGTAAATAATAGATTGGGTTCTTTTCAATAAGTAAGAGAAGATGTGATTTGTATCCTTATGCATGTATCACAACATAATCCATATGCTATGTTTTTCAGGTCTCTAAGGGAACGCGTTGTGACTGATAACACAAAAATCATTCCGAATCAGAATCTTGTACTTGATCAACGTGTCTATAATGCTTCAGTTGTTGATGATGTCACTGTAATCTTGCCAGAAAATGCTTTCTCCAGTCAAAGCTCAAGTCCTCATATTATGGTAGTTGGAAAAGTTCAAGTCTCACAGGATCTATCATCATTATGGTTGTTATGATGCACTTCAGTATCCATTATTATTCCCTCGAGGATAATGTGGGTGGACTCAAGGTTTTAAAAAAAGTCTCATCCGAGTAGGCGATCAGCAGATGTAATTCCAGATCCTATAATGTCTTGTGTTGTTCATAGTGCTGAGGATTGACTACATGAAGAAGAAACACGTAGACATTTAAACTTGTCTATTTTATAATCTATTTGGAATATGTACCTTAAATTGTTTTCCACTTACATTGTTTATGGATTCATTTTGTGCAGGTTCAAAAAGAAGGAATACTAAAGTAGATAAATTTATTTCTCCCATGGAATATTACGCTTATAAGTTGCAAATTCGGCCTAACAATATGCTATTTACAGCAAGAAGATGTTTCCAACAATACATAGTCGATATCTATGTAAAGATTGAGAATACGAGGCTCGATTATTTTCAAAACAATCAGGATACAATTAGAGCTGATATATATAAAGGTATTTTAGATTCACTGGATAATGGAGAAACTGTTGCTCATAATGTTGGTCATAGAGTAATATTACCCTCGACTTATATTGGGGGTCCTAGAGATATGAAAAAGCGGTATTTAAATGCTATGGCATTGGTACAGTGATTTGGAAAGCCAAATTTGTTTGTAATAATGACATGTAATGCTAACTGGCCAGAAATCAAGGACGAGTTAGCTACTGGTGAGCGAGCACAAAACAGACCTGATTTTCTTGCTAGAGTTTTTAGAGCAAAATTGATTACCCTAATAAAAAGAGAAATCACGGAGAGAATGGTTTTTGGAGAAGTTGCTGCAATGGTGTATGTAGTTGAGTTTCAAAAAAGAGGTTTTCCACATGCTCATTTTTTTAATTATTCTAAAACTTGAATATAAGAAGAAATATCCAAGTGATTATGATAGACTTGTTTGTGCTGAAATACCTTCTGAAAGTAATGCAAATCTTAGACAAATTGTGTTGGCGCTTATGATGCATGGCCCTTGTGGCATACTGAACCCAGAATGTGCATGTATGCGCACACATGGTTTAAAACGAAGTTGCAAAAATAAGTACCCTAAATTTTTTTGCAATGAAACTACTAATAATAAAGATGGCTACCATATTTATTGTAGAAGAGAGACCGGGGAAAAAAGTAAGTATAAGAAATGCAGAGTTAGACAATCAATGGGTTATTCACTATAATCCTTATTTGTCTTTCCTATTTGATTGCCATTTAAATGTTGAGGTGTGTTCAACAATTAAAGCACTAAAGTAACTATATAAGTATGTGTATAAGGCTCATGATAGAATTTCTTATAATATAGTATCACGTAATAATGAAGTTATAGATGAGATTAAACAATTTCCATCAGGATGATGGGTATCTCCTTGTGAATCAGCATGGAGAAAATTCAGCTTTGATTTGTTCGAGATGCATCCTCCAGTTTTGCCTTTACAGGTTCATTTTCCGAACATGTAGACTGTTTGTGTTCATCCTCATGAAAGGCTTCAAGCTACTGTTTCAAATTCTAAGCGGTCTAAAACTCAATTGACCAAATTCTTTGCAAAGAATGTTGCCTCTGAAGCTGGGTTGGGATACTTATATGGTGAATTTTGTGAGCACTACACTTGGGATAATAATGGTAAGAAGTGGAGTCAAAGGGTCCAGAATAAGCTATCAATTGGGAGATTAGCATTTGTCTATCCTGTAGAAGGTGAACGGTTTTTCCTAAGACTTTTATTGCTAAATGTAAGAAGCCATAGGGCATTTGAAGATTTACGAACTGTTAATGGTCATCTTTATCCAACTTTTCAAGAAGCTGTTGTAAAACTTGGACTTATAGAAGACGATGATGCAGCTGATTTAACATTAGCTGAATCTTGTGAGACTCATATGCCTGCTGCCTTACGCTGGTTATTTGCAACAGTTCTTATATTTTTCCAACCAAATGATCCTACTGCTTTATAGGTTAAATATTATCCTTTTCTTGGTGAAGCCTTTTCTCACTAATTTCCACAACAGCTACAGGGAGTGCAATAACTTAATGTCCGAGCTATAGAGCAACATTTTGAAGCCATGGGAAAATCTCTTGCTTTTTTAGGTTAGACTATTTAAATTCCCAGTTTACTAACGATTTCAGACAGACAAAAAGACATTCTAAATGCCCTTGATGCGCCTATTCCAGAAGAATGCTTAACTTGTCGTTCTAAGTTAAACTTCGCACAGAATGCTGCTTTTGTGTGTATTATGGAACATGTTATGCAACAAGAAGGTGGATCCTTTTTTATTGTTGGACTTGGAGGCATAGGGAAAACTTTCTTGTATAATGCTTTATATGCAAAAATACGTTTAATGAACAAGATTGTTTTATCTACAGCTACATCTGGAATTGCTGTAGAAAACATTCCTTCAGGTAGAACGGCTCATTCAAGGTTTAAAATACCAATTGATAGTGAAGCTTCTTTAGCTTGTGATGTTCCAAAACAAGGTAGTTTAGCAGCATTGTTAAAGGAAACTACACTTATAATATGGGATGAGGCTTCAATGGCAAAGAAACAAAACCTTGAGTCTTTGGATCTTTTGTTATAAGATATACGTGGGAATAAATTTACATTTGGAGCAAGGTTGTTGTATTTGGAGGTGATTTTTGGTAGGTTTTACCAATGGTCCCTCAAAAAACTATGAAGGAAGAAGTTGAAGCAAGTATAGTTACTTCTTATCCGTGGCCTAAATTTATCAAATTTAGACTGATAAAAAAAGTAGAGCAAGAGAAGATCCTGTCTATTATGCTTTTTTGCTTGATTTGGGCAACGAGAAATTACAAGATACATAAAATGCACTGATTGAGTTACCAAAGGACATTGTTTATTCCAACAGCAATGTAACAGAATTAGTCTCTACTGTTACACTTAAAATGTTTCCAGAAGTTGCTCAGGGACAAGTTGATAGTAAAGTTTTCACTGAAAAAGCAATTTTAACGCCCACGAATGATGATGTTGATTCTATTAATACATTCATGACTGAGTAATACCCTGGACAGGCTGTTAGATACAAGATTTTTGATGCCATGTTGAGTGATACGTGTAATATCTATCTTACAGAATGCATCAACAAGTTATGTCCCGGTGAGATGAGCCCTCATGAACTTGTTTTGAAGGAAAATTGCCCTGTTATTTTCTTGAGAAATCTCCTCCCTTCTTCAGGCTTATGCAAAGGCACAAGGCTAATATGCAATAAGTTTTTCCTGAATGTAATCCAGTGTACAATAGCAGTTATCCACTACAAAGGAGAAGAAGTATTTATACACAGAATCAATTTAAGACCCTCTTATTCTGCCAATTATCCATTTTAGTTTGAAAGGAAACAATTTCCTATCAAATTAAGCTTTGCAATGACAATTAACAAAGTCCCAAGGACAAACTCTAAATCAAGTATCAATTTATCTTCTATGTCCTTGCTTTTCACATGGACAACTTTATGTTGTATTTTCCCGAGCCAAGAAAGCAAGAGATGTCTGTGTTTTTACAAAAAAACCTACAGATAAATGTTCTTCAACTGCGGTTACCAATGTAGTGTCCTATGAGCTTTTACACTTAGAAGGTATTCTTAAAAATGATAGAGAATATTTCTCATAATGAATGAAGCTGGTGAAGTTGACAGGAAATATATACCGATAATTGTTGTTACATCTACACAGGTAGCTTCAAATTTTGCTTTATACACTCTTATTAGATTAGTCCAATTTTGTTGAACTTGTTTGCTTTCTCTTTTTAGAGAAATTTAAGCTATCAGTTCTCAATACTGATTATTATTATAACTTTTGCCTTGCTTATTGTAATTTTGTTTAGATGAAACTGATTACCAAGCTAAGCAATCAATATAGTGCTGAATGTAAAGATTTTAGGATGGACAAGGTATATATAGACAACACATATGAAGTATATATTACTGCCTTTATTGCCTTATTGACAATTACTATCAAGTACTTATGTTGATTTGGCATAGTATGCCTTTGAAAATTAAACGCTACTACATAAATATGAAAACTATGAAGTTCCTTGATGACAATGTTGTTGTTTTATTACTACATTTTCAGCATATGCATTATAACCACTTATTGTTAGGATATGTGGAAGATGTCTGCTAATGTAATTTAAGAGACTTCATTGATTATTATTACCTATGTACTTATCTTGTATAAAAGTATTGTACACTACTTTCAAATTTTATGATTTATATGAAAGTTACATTTGACACCATATATTTAAAACCCAAAATGCAGGTTGATTACATTATTCATAAAACATTTCCTCATCAGAATCCTTAATCATTATAATCACAAGAGGCAATACTTGCAGGTGAATGAATCTCTCTATTTATATTCAAGAAAAGCCTTTTTTTAAAAAATAAAACAAACAATAAAAAGTACAAGAAAACAGGTAATTGTCCCTTTTTTTAACTAGGGAAGCCTACGCGCGCAATGCGCGCGATACAGCTAGCCATCGTAGGGGAGTTAAAAATTTGAACCTCAAAGTTTACGTACTTTGAGTTGCTGTTGAATTATACTTGTCTTAGGTCGATCAATAAGAGATTAGATCTTAATTTATTTAGTTGTAGAAACATGTTTTGTGTTATGATTATTTATTTTGAAAATGATTATATAAATTTTATAACTCGCCAATGTACGCATTACTATATAAAAAGGCAATCAAAGCTATTGCATCGTTCTATAACTTTAATAGGAGTGTTATGGAGAGGACAAAACCCTCATTGAACACCCTGGCATAAATTAAAGGCTATGCGAATTAGTATATTTCCCTGCAAATTAAATATTCTTTGGACCATATAATGGAGGAGATAACATTTATGAGCTACGAGTATTTAACTAATGATGTATGAGTACGTCTTAACTCTTTTCTATAATCATAAACTATAAGCTTTTCCTAGGATAAAAATCAATCCAATGACACAGTAACTAAAGCAAAATACATCTTCAAACAACCTCTTAATCAAAATCATAAGACTATAGTACCTCATATGTAAGACATAACTGCTACATTCCGTAAAAGATTCATCAAATGAGTTGCTTTGTTTGACTCCCCTATAAACACAACTAAAAGAGATTACATCAAAAGTAATACTTTTTTTTTTGGTTTATCATTTTAATGGTATCCAAGAAATTATACTTTACACTCCACCTTACCACTACAAAGGTACCATTATTGCATTCATCCGTCAACTCCACCAATCTTGAGCTGTCCCCAACTCTAACCGGATACGGGCGTCTCCGAATAGTATGCTTATTCACCTACCCTCTTCGTATAACATAAACAAATAGATTGCACAAACTTTACATTTCCTTTAGTATAAAAAAACAACCAGCATGGTCATCATCCTTATAAAATTATCGCGGTGGTGGGTAGTGACCGAGGGAATGGAAACTGACATGTTAGCAGTATTTTTCAGCAACCAGAAAAGGAGTAAGTGAGAAAAGAGGAAATTGAGAAATGAGGATTTTTGGCCTTTTCGGTGGAATGATAAGAAGGAAGATAAACAAAAGAAATAGAGGACAAAAATACGAAAGGTCAAATACTTAAATGCATCGAAATTAATTTTTAATTGGGGGTAAATATGTCAATTAAATTTTTTTAATGGTATTATAGTCTTGACACTATTCATAAGCATATTTTCCCACTTTTTATAAGGTAGGGATACACTAAACTAATGACTAATGGGGATTATATTCTACATGATCGGGTCTGAGATCATTATGAAGGCTAGAAAGTCACAAATCTTCAAGGAGGTAGATATCAATAATCATTTGTCAATTCTCCTTATATAACTTGTATGACTTTATAGAAATCTATTTAAATTCTTGTTATCTACATAAAATCTGCAAATAAATTATTCAATTGTTATACTTCACAAACTGATTTGTTTTCATGAGAAATTAGCATCCCTTATATCCGACTAATGTTAGTTAAAATTTAATTATGTTTATTTCAGTTCTCCAACATTTTGAAAGAGGGAAATTTGAAAAGCACATTTAACTTGGTAAGGGACTTTCTGCAGGGGATTTTTTTCCCTTAAATAATATACGTATTGACATATTAATATTGTATCCTTTTGTATGTTAGATGGTTGAATTTTTTTTGTGTTAAGGTTATAGCTAACTTAGAACTTTGACAGTTTCACAAGCCTGAATTTCTTGCTTCATCGGTATTATAGGGAATATTTCAAGAATTATCCCAAACTTGAACCCCACTGTGATCATACACTAAAGTACGGCGGCGTCCAAAGGGAAAGAAGATAAAGCAAAAGAGTCGCCAACAAGTTTTAGGAACTTGTATACAGTTCACGAGGTGAAGGTTACACCCCTTAACAATCCAGGAGATCGTCAACTCCAATAGGTCTGGAACCATGACTGGTAGTTCGGGGATGAAGGTACAAATTCAACCTAGAAGAGATTGAATCTGCCCTAATAATAGGCCTCTACTTTATTCTGATCGTATTTATATGTGCTTTCTGACTAACATGAAATCAATAGGTTTAACCCTAAACCTATTTATCTATGTTGGTTGAATATTAATGCACAAATAAATCTATTATTGGCGATCACTTGAATTATAATCAAATTAACCCTAAACAAGATTATTAATTATCTTATTAAGCGTGATTACAAGTACCAATTCCCTTTAAACATGCATAAAAGGCGTGATCAAGTAATAACAATAAATATAATCAAGCAACATAATAATAATAACAATTATAATAATCATCATAATAATAATTAAAATAATCATAATCATGTTAAAGCATAATAATAGCAAGATTCTAGGCAAGATACTAAAGAAGATTAATAACAAACCCTAGCATGTCACTAAGCAATAAAGATCAAATATATAGCCTTAACATGATATTAACATGCATATTAGGAAAGAAAATAGGAAGCATACTTTTAATCATAC